TTGGCATAGATAAAACATCAGTTAAAGAAAAGTTACCTGGGACTGCAACTGGTGTGAAATACCTCCGTATGGCATTAACATTGGTGCTTCTAGCCTCTGACTTTGAATCCATCATCACTTGAATTATGGAAATAGCTCTTTTGATCCCATAGTGCGGATGGAGTTAAATTCTCCATCTGTGACAGTGCCTAAAACAAACAAAAATCAGATAAATAAATTGTTGTTTGGCTTATTTCAAATTACAATTTTGGGAGGTGGGGGGGGTGGGCGGGTGAAGATGCAAATCACCATTCAGTTGCTGAGTAAAAAATGACAATTATTTAAAAATTCAACAGGCTCTATGCACTCTAAAAGTACCAATATACTCAGCGCTATGCCAGTCTGGTCTGAGAAAGGTGGCTTTTAAGCAGCAGAGCAGCCCCTTTCTGTTGTATAAACTTAAGGTAGTTAACAGAGACAATTAAAGAAAAATCTTAACTCACCAACCACAAGCATTCCCAAATTTACCATGGCACTCCGTAGCTCCATACACAGTTCACGCAGTTTATTGTCAGTCACACTGTGGTAAGGTATAAATCGTACAGGAACAGCATAGGGCTTCATGTCGCGTTTTTCATCGGCTATCATGAACACCATGAGATGAGAGGCAGCTTCTCTATGCTTGGAAAAAAGATCCTTAGCATAGGAAAGAAGCCTTTGGCGTAAAGTGAGATCACCAGCAATATTACCATCTCTCTGGTTTGTTGAAATTCTTAAGTGCAGGCTGGAAATTGAAGACTTTAGGTCTTTGTTAATGTTAATGAGAGTCTGGAAGCATTCACACTCCCAAGCCAATGCAAACATGCCATCTTCAGAAGCATTTGACTGACGTTGTTTAGCTGCATACTTGTCTTTTGCAGCTTTCTCTCCACAACCAGAAACCTTAAATCGTTATCCAAACCAGAAATCACAAAGCGCCATATCTTCTTTCATTCTTACTCTTGATCCTTAAGTCCTAATCCACCATAGAAGGTTTTTCTGTCCATGTATTCCTGATATAAAGTTTGAAGCTTTCCATCTCCCAGGTCACAATCTCCTGCCCACTCATGACGCATTGACTCACGCAGTCCCTTTTCGCAGGTCACATGCATCTGCTTTAATCCACCAACGTCCGTTTTTGTTTCTTTCTTTAATCTTCTTAAGAACAGCGACCTAGCAAGAAAAAAAAAAGAATAACAAGTGGAAAGAAATCCTCATCTACTATAAAGTGCTCAATAGCAGAGCTAGAGCTAAGAATAATTATACTCCAAGAGCTAGGTTATTCGAACATTTACATTTTTTGTTGCCTGAAGATTGCTTCTCAAGAAGCATGAAACTCAGAGTTGCAGTAAATGTTCGAATAACCTAGCTCTTGGAGTATAATTATATATATATATGTTTTTCAAATATATTTCATATCTATTTAATCATATGTGCACTCACCTGAACATTTGTGTCTCTTGAAAACTCAGCAGCCTGTATACGACGTTGAAGAGTCCTTACAGAATGACCTGCAACATTGACTTTAGCTTTCATCGGATCCACTTCTGTCCTTTTCTTTTTTATGTGCCTGTGGGCGAATACCATGAAATGTTTCCAGTTCTATTGGTCTATCGCCGTTTGCAATTTGTTCTTTTCTTCAGAACCAAGTCGTGCCCAAAGGTAGCTCACTTCTTCATTGACCTGGTCGTTCACCTCAAGCTCGTCTTCTGCCTCAACAAGGGTTTCAACCTCAAGCCCATATCCTGCCTCAACAATTGTTTCAACCCCAAGCCCATCTCCTACCTCAACAATGGTTCCAACCTCAAGAGGGTCTCCTGCCTCGACAACAGTTTCAACCTCAATCCCATCTCCTGTCTGAACAATGGCTCCAACCTCAAGAGGGTCATCTGTGTCAACAAGGGTTTCTACATCAAGGCAGTCATCTGCCCCAACTTTCTCTCTAGTGGTATCTTGGTCTTCAACCTCATCTTGTACCCCATTCTGGGTACTCACTTGAAATGTTTCATTCCATGCTTGTTGAAGGATACTTGAGGAACCTTGCTCACTGCTGTTTGTGTTGCTGGTGCTATTACAAGCTGCAGCTGAGGAATCATCAACAACAGTCTCATCATAGGCAAACCCTGGTCCCCTCTGTAAGCAAATCCATTTATGACCAAAGTTGGAGAACATAGTTGTCTCCCCACTCCACAAAATGGGGGTCTGATGAAATGTTGTTCACAGTGTCCATAGCAAAATAGCGAATATTGTAGCTTAATAATCCAAACGGCATCTTGTCAATAGGGAGCCGTGGACCTGAACCATCTTTCCGTGACATTCCAAGTCCCCTGGCCAAGTAATAAAGAACATTTTCTTTGCCATTGCTATGAAGTACATTAATGCCCTTGCAGCATAGTTTAATAAAGTCAGAAGGAATAAATGCTCGAAAATCATGATCAAGTTCTAAAAACATGAACTGCCAAAATAAGTTCTGGATCAAGTCCCTCTCATACGCCGAAGTCATCAATGTCAACAGTTTAATAACCTTGGCAATGGTATCTCCATGATTGTATGTCTCATGGTTTGTTGAATTGGCATGTGGAGAGTGCGCCAATATTGGAGATAATGGGGTGTTCTTCTCAAGCATCGCCTGTGGAGTCGAATTTACATTCCCAGGAGATGTTAGTGTTGATGAATTTTCATAATGAATGTCTTGCAATCCACCACTAAAATAGTTGACCTGGAGGTCATCTTCTGCTTCCTCCAGTGTTGCATACCTTTTTTACGCAGGAAGGAGTTGACCTGATAACGGCATGCACTCCCTGAAAAAGAAAAGAAAATATAAATCGGTTTGTTTCACCTCACTTACTGTAAGCCACTGTAAGTTCCTTTTGAACTAAAACCTTCAGCAACTGCTACCTTCCTCCACCCTATTTTAAGACAAACCACTATCAGGCCTGCTCCACTATGTTATAATCTCTTCATTACAGAGTTATTACATTGTATAAAATAACTAGTTGAGTTGTGTAGGAGATCGCACACTATCAATGTATTCAAAAGCTGATGTTTTGAATGACTAAGAGCAAACAACCCAGACATCATCAATATCATCATCATTATCACCACCGCCACTAGGGGACAAACCTCTTGCATATAATTATTATCCTGCCGACCAAAAATTATGCCCTACTACGGCCTGGGTGAAATATGTTTACCTGATCGTCGTGGCATTCCAGTTGTACAGGCCAGAGCATCTGCACATTTTTCCCAGAAATTGATGTCTTTGAAAGAAGGCCATTTAAACAATTGATCTTGTTCCACTGGGGTAAATAGAGCAATATACTCAACCAATGCTCGCCTTTCCTCCACAGACCAAACTGGGGACTGAGGTGGATGAGGGACCTTGAAGATATTAAATAAATGGTAACATAAGTAAACCTACATATAAACACACAAACAAAAAAACATCCTTGATAAACCCTGTGGTGGAGGTGGCTGGTGTAACATCTCTAAAGCCACACTTTATTTTATGATTTTTTTTAAAATTTTGTCAAATGTTTCATTTCATCACAGTGCGAGTGTGAAAACATAAAATTACTGCTAATGTTATCTGAGTAAAACTACAAGAAATAATGGATTCTAATCCACAATCTATGGATACTGGCCAATCTCTTGTTGGAGGCTACATTTGTACATGTATAATTTATTCACACGTGAAAAACATTCTTCAATAATGACAAATAAGTATCTTATAAAAGACCATTTAACTGACTCAAATACAAAATCAGAAGGAATTCGTGTAATTCGACTCTTTTTACCTTTTCTGGCTTGAAATTAAACAAATTCCAGGCGGTGTGCGTCACGAGATTTAACCAATCAGAATGCGTTATTTTCGGAGTAGATTTCGTGCTCGAGAAGAGCAGTTTTGAGAGGTACACGAGTTGAGATTTTCGTCGTTTTTGAAGATTGTAATCATTTTTTCTTAATCAAAATTCGCTATAAAGTTAGCGAATTAATTTATCTTAGTGCTGGTGCAGTTATTTTTTAAGAAGAAACGTTTATTCGGCTTTGCGACCATTTCAAAGGTGACGGTCTCGTGTGAGACGCCATGTTGTTTTGGTTGTAAATTTCACTGCTTTTCTTGGACTTGTAGCTCCTTACTGTTATTGATTGTTGTCAATATTTTCGGTCCGTTAGTGAGTTTAAGTAGTCTTCTTTGACAATTTCGGGGTCTACCCGGGTCTACCCCGTCGGGTTTTCCCGCTAGAGGCCGTGGAGGACACACTGGTATGAAGAGATCGACCCAGCCAAGTGGCTCCACTCCCGGGAAACCGGCTGGTAAAGTCAACAGAACTGGAGGTCAAAATAACATCAAATCGAGAAAGAATTTGTTTAATTTCAAGCCAGAAAAGGTAAAAAGAGTCGAATTACACGAATTCCTTCTGATTTTGTATTTGAGTCAGTTAAATGGTCTTTTATAAGATACTTATTTGTCATTATTGAAGAATGTTTTTCACGTGTGAATAAATTATACATGTACAAATGTAGCCTCCAACAAGAGATTGGCCAGTATCCATAGATTGTGGATTAGAATCCATTATTTCTTGTAGTTTTACTCAGATAACATTAGCAGTAATTTTATGTTTTCACACTCGCACTGTGATGAAATGAAACATTTGACAAAATTTTAAAAAAAATCATAAAATAAAGTGTGGCTTTTAGAGATGTTACACCAGCCACCTCCACCACAGGGTTTATCAAGGATGTCTTTTTTTGTTTGTGTGTTTATATGTAGGTTTACTTATGTTACCATTTATTTAATATCTTCAAGGTCCCTCATCCACCTCAGTCCCCAGTTTGGTCTGTGGAGGAAAAGGCGAGCATTGGTTGAGTATATTGCTCTATTTACCCCAGTGGAACAAGATCAATTGTTTAAATGGCCTTCTTTCAAAGACATCAATTTCTGGGAAAAATGTGCAGATGCTCTGGCCTGTACAACTGGAATGCCACGACGATCAGGTAAACATATTTCACTCCAGGCCGTAGTAGGGCATAATTTTTGGTCGGCAGGATAATAATTATATGCAAGAGGTTTGTCCCCTAGTGGCGGTGGTGATAATGATGATGATATTGATGATGTCTGGGTTGTTTGCTCTTAGTCATTCAAAACATCAGCTTTTGAATACATTGATAGTGTCGATCTCTCCTACACAACTCAACTAGTTATTTTATACAATGTAATAACTCTGTAATGAAGAGATTATAACATAGTGGAGCAGGCCTGATAGTGGTTTGTCTTAAAATAGGGTGGAGGGAAGGTAGCAGTTGCTGAAGGTTTTAGTTCAAAAGGAACTTACAGTGGCTTACAGTAAGTGAGGTGAAACAAACCGATTTATATTTTCTTTTTCTTTTTTCAGGGAGTGCATGCCGTTATCAGGTCAACTCCTTCCTGCGTAAAAGGTATGCAACACTGGAGGAAGCAGAAGATGACCTCCAGGTCAACTATTTTAGTGGTGGATTGCAAGACATTCATTATGAAAATTCATCAACACTAACATCTCCTGGGAATGTAAATTCGACTCCACAGGCGATGCTTGAGAAGAACACCCCATTATCTCCAATATTGGCGCACTCTCCACATGCCAATTCAACAAACCATGAGACATACAATCATGGAGATACCATTGCCAAGGTTATTAAACTGTTGACATTGATGACTTCGTATGAGAGGGGACTTGATCCAGAACTTATTTTGGTAGTTCATGTTTTTAGAACTTGATCATGATTTTCGAGCATTTATTCCTTCTGACTTTATTAAACTATGCTGCAAGGGCATTAATGTACTTCATAGCAATGGCAAAGAAAATGTTCTTTATTACTTGGCCAGGGGACTTGGAATGTCACGGAAAGATGGTTCAGGTCCACGGCTCCCTATTGACAAGATGCCGTTTGGATTATTAAGCTACAATATTCGCTATTTTGCTATGGACACTGTGAACAACATTTCATCAGACCCCCATTTTGTGGAGTGGGAGACAACTATGTTCTCCAACTTTGGTCATAAATGGATTTGCTTACAGAGGGGACCAGGGTTTGCCTATGATGAGACTGTTGTTGATGATTCCTCAGCTGCAGCTTGTAATAGCACCAGCAACACAAACAGCAGTGAGCAAGGTTCCTCAAGTATCCTTCAACAAGCATGGAATGAAACATTTCAAGTGAGTACCCAGAATGGGGTACAAGATGAGGTTGAAGACCAAGATACCACTAGAGAGAAAGTTGGGGCAGATGACTGCCTTGATGTAGAAACCCTTGTTGACACAGATGACCCTCTTGAGGTTGGAGCCATTGTTCAGACAGGAGATGGGATTGAGGTTGAAACTGTTGTCGAGGCAGGAGACCCTCTTGAGGTTGGAACCATTGTTGAGGTAGGAGATGGGCTTGGGGTTGAAACAATTGTTGAGGCAGGATATGGGCTTGAGGTTGAAACCCTTGTTGAGGCAGAAGACGAGCTTGAGGTGAACGACCAGGTCAATGAAGAAGTGAGCTACCTTTGGGCACGACTTGGTTCTGAAGAAAAGAACAAATTGCAAACGGCGATAGACCAATAGAACTGGAAACATTTCATGGTATTCGCCCACAGGCACATAAAAAAGAAAAGGACAGAAGTGGATCCGATGAAAGCTAAAGTCAATGTTGCAGGTCATTCTGTAAGGACTCTTCAACGTCGTATACAGGCTGCTGAGTTTTCAAGAGACACAAATGTTCAGGTGAGTGCACATATGATTAAATAGATATGAAATATATTTGAAAAACATATATATATATATAATTATACTCCAAGAGCTAGGTTATTCGAACATTTACTGCAACTCTGAGTTTCATGCTTCTTGCGAAGCAATCTTCAGGCAACAAAAAATGTAAATGTTCGAATAACCTAGCTCTTGGAGTATAATTATTCTTAGCTCTAGCTCTGCTATTGAGCACTTTATAGTAGATGAGGATTTCTTTCCACTTGTTATTCTTTTTTTCTTGCTAGGTCGCTGTTCTTAAGAAGATTAAAGAAAGAAACAAAAACGGACGTTGGTGGATTAAAGCAGATGCATGTGACCTGCGAAAGGGACTGCGTGAGTCAATGCGTCATGAGTGGGCAGGAGATTGTGACCTGGGAGATGGAAAGCTTCAAACTTTATATCAGGAATACATGGACAGAAAAACCTTCTATGGTGGATTAGGACTTAAGGATCAAGAGTAAGAATGAAAGAAGATATGGCGCTTGTGATTTCTGGTTTGGATAACGATTTAAGGTTTCTGGTTGGTGGAGAGAAAGCTGCAAAAGACAAGTATGCAGCTAAACAACGTCAGTCAAATGCTTCTGAAGATGGCATGTTTGCATTGGCTTGGGAGTGTGAATGCTTCCAGACTCTCATTAACATTAACAAAGACCTAAAGTCTTCAATTTCCAGCCTGCACTTAAGAATTTCAACAAACCAGAGAGATGGTAATATTGCTGGTGATCTCACTTCTTTACGCCAAAGGCTTCTTTCCTATGCTAAGGATCTTTTTTCCAAGCATAGAGAAGCTGCCTCTCATCTCATGGTGTTCATGATAGCCGATGAAAAACGCGACATGAAGCCCTATGCTGTTCCTGTACGATTTATACCTTACCACAGTGTGACTGACAATAAACTGCGTGAACTGTGTATGGAGCTACGGAGTGCCATGGTAAATTTGGGAATGCTTGTGGTTGGTGAGTTAAGATTTTTCTTTAATTGTCTCTGTTAACTACCTTAAGTTTATACAACAGAAAGGGGCTGCTCTGCTGCTTAAAAGCCACCTTTCTCAGACCAGACTGGCATAGCGCTGAGTATATTGGTACTTTTAGAGTGCATAGAGCCTGTTGAATTTTTAAATAATTGTCATTTTTTTACTCAGCAACTGAATGGTGATTTGCATCTTCACCCGCCCCCCCCCCCTCCCAAAATTGTAATTTGAAATAAGCCAAACAACAATTTATTTATCTGATTTTTTGTTTGTTTTAGGCACTGTCACAGATGGAGAATTTAACTCCATCCGCACTATGGGATCAAAAGAGCTATTTCCATAATTCAAGTGATGATGGATTCAAAGTCAGAGGCTAGAAGCACCAATGTTAATGCCATACGGAGGTATTTCACACCAGTTGCAGTCCCAGGTAACTTTTCTTTAACTGATGTTTTATCTATGCCAAAATCTGACCACTGGAAATTCTTCACTATCATATGTGTGTGTGTATGTGTGTGTGTGTTGTAGGTGGAAATGAAATTCAGGTTAAAATGATTTCAACCTAGATTGATTTGAATCTCCTTTGTTTCAAGAGGCAATTCGCATGTATTTTAAAACCTTAACTTTTCTTCCTAACAGGTGCCAATGGGACATTTTCTGTAAGAGGTCAGGCTCAACACCCAGCCATTCCGGTTGAGGACATTGTATGGCTTTATGACTTCATGAATGCTGATGGCAATCAAGTACCATTTGAAAGCCCATCCACATTTTAAAACGGAAGCTGTTTCCTGCCAATTATGACCCTTATCCTTGGGATGCAAAAAAGTATATGCTGTAGTTTGTAATATCTTTCTTGTTTTATGAGCACTATTACCCTCAAATGGTACGGCATGAAGTCCAACTACTAATTTAAAATTGCATATTAAATAACAAAATTTAAAAATGAAATTATTATTACATTAAATCTCTGCCTGTGCACGGGCTGTTATAGAGGATCAGTAGGGCCAGTTTATAGGCTACCCATGGCCTAAGGTGCCATGTACTGTCAATGTACCTTTCAGTTCTATTTATCATTTATTTTCAATTGTTTCTTTTCCTTTAAACAGTGGCTGAAGAGGATACCAAAGGTTGTCTTAAGTCTTTGATGGCAACATACTTGTTCCGCTACAAAATAAAAACGAATGAAAGAAGAATTAAATGTGGACTTCAGCAAACACCTTTACCAGCCTGAATTGTGTGATGTCACTGGGGAATACATACATGAGAGAGAAGACCACAACCATGTTCTTAAACGTATCACTGAATGTCTTCGTGCAGGTGAAATCCCAGGGGTTGACACCCGCTACTTCAGAGATGCCCTGCATGATGCTCATTCAGGTTAATAACAATTATTTGTGTTGTGTGCGTAGTCTATTAAAGGCCCTTGTTCATCCAAATGCAATGTGCGCCCAAGCTTATTTTTGCACTGATGGAAAATCTAAAATTAACGTTCCAGGCAATCATAATGCTACATTGAACAATTGAACCTGTTTTAAAACAAAAACACAAACACACACAGCAGATTGGGTGAACATGTACCTTTAATCATGATGTTTTGATAATAATGATTCATTTGACCCCCTCTGGGTTTAAATGAATTCTTGTATTCATACCTGTGTACTACAGGTATATTGATGACATAGAAAATGGCATTCTGACATTTCTTGCTTTGATTATTTTTTGATAGTTCGTGAAAGGGTTAATAGCCTTTTTTTTTTCTTTTCACATTATCCTTATATGAACTGATGTAATTCATTCTAATAATTACTATCCCTTTAACTCCCAAGGGTGCCAAAGAAAAAAAAATTCAAGAAAAATACCAGATTTCATTTTGTAAAATATTGAAAAACTAATGTTTCCGTAAAAATGTACTGCTGAAGAGGTTTCATTTGAATGGTCACACCATACGATTTTGTCCACAGACTCAAAAGTTAGAACTAGTGCTTTACATGTCTCCATAATTATTGACTGTGGAAGTGAAAGGGTTAATATTATTAATGTTCTTGTCATGACCATGACAACAAAATTGCTTTGACCTACCACATGTACATTTTTTTCTTTCACTGAAAATTTCTCCAAAATACAAAAGGAATTTGCTTACATACAAAATATGTAATTGAGCAGTATTTAAAAAAGGAATATCAAAAAGTTTTTGGAAGCCTCAGCAACGGCATTTTTTTTAAATACAGGTTTAACTTATGAGGCTTTAACTGGAAAACAGAAACAGTCAGTACCACATTGTGAACAGGTGTTTTCAAAGGGTGTACTGGAGTTCATGCAAAGGAATGGCCATACTTCAGAGGCACACTTTGTTGAAACTGTTTGAAACTGGCATAAGGCGGCAGATGGACGGGGACTATCAGAGGAAACACGGTCAAAGTATAACAATGACATGATCAATTTTCTGTTGACTGATTGGATGCCCTGGCATGAGTACGAAAGGGACTTTTCAACTATTGATGTCATGCGCCCTATAAAGGGTATTAAAGGTTTCACTAGAGAAATTGTGGTTGCTTTGATTGCGAACTGTGAAAGCCTTGAACTCCGTCGAGCAGAGTATCAAGAGAGAGGTTTGCCCCCGGAGCACCCACGTGCAAGCAGCACAGATGACGTTGAAGGCTTCATTGCACATCTCCATGATCAACTTGGAGATGTGTTTGACCACAAGGAATTTTAGAACAGCAACCCAAAATTCTAAATGAGTTTACCAAGAAGATAGACCCAGAGCTTCAATTTTACTACTGGACAGGACACCGACATCGATTCACAACTGCCCCACTGCCTTCCTTCAATGATGCATCAGGTCAAACAGAAAGATTGGACAGGGTTAGGTTGTCAAGACGTTCTGATCCAGGGGTTTTTGTGGCAAATAGGGCATCCTTGCCACAAAGAAATTCTCTGACAGTCAGGGCTTCATTTCACAGAGCACCAGAACAATTACCTCCACCACCAACAGTGTAGCATAAGTTTATTAACTTATAGTTTTGCATATTGATGTTAGCCTTAGTAAACTAAAATTGGGACAAAGATAATGCACTTTTCTAACTTATTTACATTTACACGTGTAAAGTTTTACTGGACTTTTCTTGAGGCCCTGACAACTTTGGAGCTCCAGGGTCCCTTTTTAGTGATATTTAAGGTTACATAAAAGCCAACTAACAAGTAGTTTACTCTAAAGCGAATGCGTGCAACAGTTACTTTGATGTTGTTTCTTTCAATGATAGGGTGTATGTCACTTGTTAACTCTTTGGCAATGTAACCAACTTTGTTCCAACCACTACCACAGTTTATTAATACGGCTATTGCATTTTGGTCATAATCATTTTCAGGCTCTGGTTGGAGCTGCGCTTGTACATCTTTTTTATTTTTTCCAAACACTCGTATGCATTTTTAAGGATAATTTGTCGTCCTTTATATGCAGTACCAAGTACTTTGAAAAAGGAACAGTATGCTCAATTTCTGAAGAATCGTTCTCCTCATTTGAATCATCAGAATCATCAGCATTAACAATTGAATGATCCTCCGGCTCTACTGGTTCAGACCATCTAAATTCCCAAATGACCAAATATGTGATGTTTTCAACCACAATGTTACACCATTTTTGAGCAATGATTTCATCTCCACATTTTGTCCGTCCACTGTCATCAGCTTGGAATAGCGCAGGCCACCCTGTCCTTCTACCAGTTATAGAAACAGTTCCTTTTACAAATTCTATCGTCAGAACAGGGAATGACGGAATAGTCCACTCAATGTTATCTTGTCCAAGACTTGAAACTGTTAATGCCAGGTCTCTAGGCTGCCACAAACCCTTCTACAGAAAAATGGTTGTAATAAAAAGCATTCCTTATAGAGTACTAAAGTGATGACGTCATAAAAATGAAATTTCTGAAATTATGGGATTTGTCAGGATATTCTGAAAGAACAATGTCCAAGAGACCTACTTGCCAAAAATGAGCATTTTGGGGCAAATTGTCTCTGAGATCGTAGCCCAGTTATACTCAGAAAACTCCCTACAAACCCCCTCTAATTTTTTCTTGGGTCGGGCCAAAAATATTTAGAAGGGTTTGTATGGAATTTTGTAAGCATAACTAGGCTACGATCTCAGAGACAATTTGCCCCAAATGCTCATTTTTGGCAAGTAGGCCTCTTGGACATTGTTCTTTCAGAATACCCTGACAAATCCCATAATTTCAGAAATTTCATTTTTATGACGTCACACCTTAGTACTCTATTTCATGCTGTATAAGTATTAGTATAAATTATGTAACTAAGTGCACTGCATGTGAATAGCTGTGATGAGCAAGCTTGTTTAGTATATTTCAATTAATAATGGTGTCCTTAGTTATTTTTTGTCTTTCTTCAGTTCTTTTTTGGATTAAAGGAATGAAGAAGGAAGCATTTTCTTGAGAATTAGTTATTTGTCACATTCATGTGGGATGAACTGAAAAAGGCCAATGTTATAGCACATTTTTATTCCACAATAGAAACTAAATGATTGTAAATAAGCCACTTCTAAAAACAACACATGGTCAAGAGTTTAGAAGGTCACTTGAGACTTCTCAGTATTTTATCTGTAATGTTTAAGTTAAAAGTTTTTCTGAATAAAAATAGTTTAAAGATGTGATGCATACTCCGCTTTATCAGTTAATAAAATAGAAAGAATAAATTAGTTGTTAGCATATAATTTACCTTGATGGGAAGTGCAAAGGTATTCCTGATAGTTGTGCTCTCCCTGGGATCAACATTACCCACAGCAAGGTTAACTGCATACTCATTTGAGAGAAGGCTAATATGATATTAAGTAATCAACAAAACACAATAAATGGATTATTTTCTATCTTTGAAAAGCTAGTTTTTTAAAATGCATAAAATGATTTTCAAAAGACCGTGAAACAGTTACTAAGTTAGTAGGCACTAGTACACACTATTAGACATTAATTCCATGTTTTCTTTCTTTCATTGTTTTCATTGTTTTAGCTAATTTTGGCTAATTTTGATTAATTGCTAGATACTGTTTCACGGTCTCATGAAAATCACTCTAATGAAACTGTACAACAACTGACTATCTGATTTTACACAGTTTTCAGCACACCATCAATTCAAATCCAATTATTGTAAATTATTCCATGTGAATGCCATACAGCAAAAATTCTCAGGCTACTTTTTAAATACTTAATTTCGTTTATGAAAATATTTTTTTAGAATAAGAAATTCTTTTAGAATAAGAAATTCTCTCGCCCAGACAATCATAGCAGATAAAAAACAGTGAGCAAGAGCACTTATAGTGAGTAATTATAATTACTTAAATTGGATACATTCCACAAGGGTTCAGAAAAAGCTTCCTTATCTGGTGTTTGTCCCCAAGGCGTAAGTGGCATGGTTTCTGCATTTATAGGATTAATCACTGTCTGGTGACGAAATATTGCCTTGGCCCTTTGAAATCCACTACTGTAGTCTGACGGGGCAAATCGATTTCTCTGTAAAACAGCTAAGAAATCTGTTTTTTTTTTTGTCACGAGCTTGTGGGCAGTATGGATACCAATGCCACGTACATTTTCTAAGTAGTCACAACCTGCAACAATGCACATGTCCAGGAATTCTTCCTGTGTCAGTGACAAATGTTGCAACACCTTTCCTAACTCGATTACTTCACACACACCATCGAGTCGCAACTTGAACAAAACCTATAGATAGATAGGGAAATTAGGGGTGTTCAGGAAAACCCTTCCTTATTTTTATTCATGGTCTTTTGTGTTCAACGGAGAAAACCAAAGGTAATAGTAATAATAGTATATGCATTTATATTGCACAGGCTTCATGAGTATACCTGTATGATCGCCTGCGCAAAACATTGAGTTCATAAAAATAAAAATGTATACAATTTATAACTAATTCTAAGTGCTACTAATTTCAAATTGATACTTGTACAAATTAATAAAATTGTATAATCGAAAAAAAGAACCTAATGACAATAAAAAGAATAAGAAAATGATTAAAAATTACAGAAAGCCTCTAAATTTTTTTTTTTCAGTAAAACCTTTAAAGTGTTCAGAGATCTGCTGCTATTTGCAATTGGGTTCTAGTTTATGAAATTAATAGTTACGATATAAAAGGACTAAAACTATAAACATAGTTCATTCTGTTGAAAATCAAGTAAACACAGCCAGGCTTTGAATAAGCATTTGGATGATAAATTGTATGGGTTATTCAATGTACCTTTTGGCATCCATAAGCAAGAAGGTCGGAATCCTCTGAGATTGCAATATCTACATAGCCATGCTCATAAAGTAATGCTATCTCTGCATCAGCCTCGTACGGAGCTACCACATAATCAATAGACTTTTGTCGGCAAGTCTATAAATGAAAAGAATAAAAAATTATCTTAACGAGGTCATTCAATTTTTAATTAAAAACAATACAATATTTAATTATTAAGAAGTCTAGAAAAAAATGTATTTTAAGCTTACTGAAATGATAAACTTTATGCCAAAATTGAGACTTAGACTTACTTGAATAAACCCACAGACGAGATCGTGGTTAATTTCTGCAGCTGCAGCCAAAGCGTTTCTTGCCTCAGTCACCTTTCCACTGCGCCGAAGTTGGTCAGCTTTTTGCTGTTGTTGTTTTCTTTGCCTAAAGGAAGAAGATTTATGGGAGATCAATGTCTGCTGAAAAAAAAAAATCATTTCTACTAAAGAAAATTAGACAAAAAGGCTTAAATATTTGAACTGAGCTTCAACTGTCAATGCAAAAAAATTCTCTCACATTGCTCTGTTATCACGCTCTCTGTCCTTGCCCGGTAGCGGCAATCCGTCGAACACGACCAACGGTCGAATTTTATTCCTTTCCAGTAGATCCAGATAAGAATTGCAGATCTCCTTCACTCTAAGAAGTAAAAACATTAGTTAAAATGCAATACAAATTAAGACATAGTAAAACTTTCATATTAAAAGTTCTCACCTTCGATCGTCTCCGAATTGCGAATAACTGATCGCAATGGCCTTGTGTAACCAACAAGACGCATCTACGGCCGCCACGAGACCTTTAAAACTGTCTAAATAGCTGTTTTCAGTGACGTCTTTCAGAAAAGGAAGCAAGGTTTTAATTCCCATTCTATTGTCTCTGTATGTGCCAAGAGCTCGCTGAGATGTTCACTCGCTGGTGTCAAGCGGGAAACGAGCGCCGCCACATTTTTACCAC